TATATGATGGTTATATATGTATATGTATTTTATATGATGGTTATATATGTATATGTATTTTATATGATGGTTATATATGTATATGTATTATATATGATGGTTATATATGTATATATGTATATATATATATATATACATATATATATATATATATATATATATATATATATATATATATAAACTGCCGGTACAAACACGCGCAGGTCTGTCTCTCAGTTCCACAGTCCATGGAGCAAGATCAGAGTCATGTGATCAGAGACAGAGCATCAGAGACATGAATGATTCCTGCAGGAACAGAGGAAACACCACAAGCTTCAGGGTTAGCTGATCACCTTGTTACAAGTTCTGGAAGATACAGCTCATTTAAAGAAACATATTGTGTTTGTTACATTTATGTAAAAAAATGATGTAAAAAAAATCTGTATGCGTTTTTGTGGCTGTCTATTGTTGTCGCTGTTGTCCATTGTTATGTAGTGGCGGCTGTGTCTGAGTGGTTAGAGCAGTCGTCCTCCAATGCAACAGTTGGGGGTTCGAATCCACCAGCAGTCACATGCCGAAGTGTCTCTGGGCAAGACACTGAACCCCTAGTTGCCTCTGATGTGTGTCCATCAGTGTATGAAAGTGATAAAGCTCTGATTAGTCTCTTTAGAATGATTTGTTCAAGTATCTTTGTACAGATCTAGTATAGTTCTTTATGAATGGGTCATTGAGGCACAGATTATTGTAAAGAGCTTTGAGTGTCTCCATAAGATAGAAAGGTGCTATATATATACTGTCCATTGACATTTACCATTCATCTTTCTTTGTTAAATCAGGTCTCTCTTGTAAATGAGTCCTCGAGGCTCAATGGGATTTACCTGAATAAATAAAGGTTGAATGAATGAATATATGACGGTTGGTCCGAGTTTCATTCATTCATTTTGGTTCAGTCACTGAACATGATAATTTTATGACAAAGCTTAAAAATCCTTCTACTTTTTTATTCAGAAAAATTTTAAAATAAAAAACCTGTAGTATGCTTTTTTATAACTGTTTATTGTTGTTGCTGTTGTCCATTGTTGTCATCTTTCTTTGTTGAAATCAGGTCTCTCTTGTAAATGAGTCCTGGAGGCTCAATGGGATTTACCTGTAGAAATAAAGGTTGATTTAGAAGCTCACAGTAACTTGACACTGTGAGGGAAACCATCGTCCGTTAAACTGAAACGATTCATTCAACCCAACATTTTTCAGTCCGGTCATCTGGACAGTTTCTTTTTTTGTGCTGAAACGTTTCGCCTTCGATCCAGAAGGCTTCATCAGTCAAGGAAACACACGGCAAAACTGATTCTTCCCCCAACAGCTTACTCCAAAGTGGAACAAACCAGTTTTGCTTGTGATAAGATTGTCTCTTTGATCACTTTGATCATGGACTTTGCTGTTTTCAACCAGTTTGACAAGACTGTCAACAAGGAAGAGGGCCGGCAATGGAGGAGGGGGCATACCAAAGAGACCATCTTATCACAAGCAGAACTGGTTTGTTCCACTTTGAAGTAAGCTGTTGGAGGAAGAACCAGTTTTGTTGTGTGTTTCCTTGACTGATGAAGCCTTCTGGATCGAAGGCGAAAAAAAAAAAATTTAAATTATAAATATGAACTGGCTGCAGTGGTGGTTTTAGCTTCTTTTTTTTGGGGGGGGGGGGGCTCAAGTGGTAAGCCCCTAAATTTAAACTCAGCACCTCTGAAAAATAAAGAAACCATCACAGGATTGTGTTCTCAAATCTTAGATTCAACAAAATATGGAATAAATGACGACAGTCTTAAAATGACCCAGTAAAATCTGTTTTTTATTTTTACTGTAGTTGGATTCTCGACCCACCTGTCAATCAGTCCCATAGGCACGTCAGCACGTGACCAATCACTGACCTCAGTTTGTCCTGAAGTGAACAGCCCTTACCTGCAGAGCTGCAGCTGTGCAGTCACTTCAATCAACACTTTACATCTTTTCTTTCATGTTCATCTAATAAATCTGTAAAATACATCAGAATGCAGGAAATGGCATCTACTTTATCCAAAATACTCTGGGGGAGGACCCCCAGACCCACCCCTGCCCCCAGTCCATGAAAATATAGTCTGACATTAATCAACCTTTATTTATACAGGTGAATCAAACTGGTCCGTGGCGCAAAAAAGGTTGAGGACCCCTGTTTTAGAGCTTTGTATTAGCCCACTAGGTGGCGTTCTGCTTTTCTATTTGAGAGCGTCTGTCATGATCTACAGAGACAGCCTAGGAGCAGAACCTTCAGGAGCCGGAGCCAGATGTTGCTGCAGAGTCCCACCTCTCATCTTCTTGTTTCAGTTTAGATGGAATGAGACAAACTCTCCTGTAATGTCCACAAGTAAAGATGTGGTTTGAAAACCTGCTCCGCATGCATGCAGGCTGCAGCAGCGACTCACAGCCGCTGGTTTATCAGAGGAGAGGTGTGGAGGAATACAACTCTGCTTCCTGGACTGGACCCTGGACTGGACCCTGGACTGGACTGGACCCTGGGTTGTCAATAATTTGGGGGATAACCAAAATCAGCCATATTTCTAGAAAGAAGAGCGGCTCCGTCCAAAGTGGGATGGATGCCATCTCTCCGCATCAGACCAGGTTTTCCCCAGAAAGAACTCCAGTTATCTATGTAGCCCACGTCGTTGTCAGAACTCCACCTGGACACCCAGCGGTTAAACCACGACATACGGCCAAACATGTCATCGCTGGTCAGGTTGGGGAGGGGGCCGGAGAAAACTACGGAGTCCCACATGGTTTTAGTGATTTAGAAATGAGAGATTCTGTCATGAGCAGAGTAAAAATATAAAGAAAATAATAAAAATGAAAGAATTCTTAGATTTTGAAGATCATTATAAAAACCTGAAATGTGGATTTTTTTTTACTATTTAATCCAAAAAGACCCTTGAGTTAAAATTCAGAAGTCTTACATTTTAAATGTTAATTTCAGGCTGAGAGAGCTCTAAAAGACCGACTAGTTTTCTGTGAAAATATAAGTCAAGTCAGAGCTCGATAATAGCTTGTTAAGAACTGTAAGGCGTTCAATAAGAGCATGAAGGTTCATAAAAGGGTCAAGATCCTCGGACCGAGCTGCAGAAAACACACTCCACTGACCCAACGGTACTGAGTCTGAGGTCTGCTGCCACCCAGACCAGAACCTGATGAACTGCTGTCATAGCCTCAGGAAGCAGTAAGCTTTGATTGTTTGTTGGCAGGAATGTGGTCCCGCAGGGCAGATGTTTTGGACCCCTGCTGTTTTCTATTTTCATTAAAAAAAAACATCTGGTCTGACCGTAAGTTCAGGAATCACATGCAGGTGGTAACAATTTGGTTTGAAATTGGTCATAAATCCTCGTTAACCTTGTTTGTAATGTGCAACGACACAGAAAGGCTAAGAATAAGAGTCATGATTTCCTAACAAGCAGAGGGACAGAGAAGAACCCGTTGGTTCCATTAATGGATGAATTCTCACCACGTCCTGCTCTCCTCCAGTAGCCGGCACCCAGATCACGATGTACTCACGGACGTTTCCCTCTGGCGGCTCCCAGTGGACGTTTAAGGTGCTGGTGGTGGGATCAGTGACCTGCAAGTTCCTCACGAAACCCAGCGGTCCTGAGGGAACATCAAGCAGGAGGTCAGAGCTGCTGTCATCAGATTATGATGAGGAGTCTCACTGTTCGTGTCTCTGTTTCAGTCAGCTTTTAAACACGGGCTGATCTTTTAAGCTTCCAGCAGAACCAACATTTTTTGTCCCATCGGTTGAATAGTGATAGGTTAAAGGTCATGATCCACCACAGGCAGGTTGGATCTGTCCTCATGGTGCAGGTTTTCTTTATGAAGTTTAAAAGTCAAATCATTTCTTTGGTTCTAACGGATTTGATAAAATGAGATGTTCTGTTTCTGAAACGGGAGATTTGATCTTGTTTTTAGGTTCTGATGGCGCCTCAGAGCACCAAGATGCAAGAACTCACGAGTCTTTCCTTTGTCGGTTAGGCTCGGCCCATCTCCCTCGGCATACATGGGGACCACAGTGATGGTGTAGCTGGTGTCTGGACGGAGCTTCTGCAGAACCATCGAGGTGGTGCTCTCCGACACCGGTTCCTGTAAAAGAACACACAAGAAGAAATCAAAGCTCTGACCTCTGACCTTTACATTCCCTCTGACTTTTCCCATTTTTGATCTGGAGCAGCTCTTTGAGTAAAAACTGATAAAGTTCTTAAAACAGCAGCTCAGTCCAACTTTCTGTTTAAACTCCAAATGGAGGTTTTGAAGTCTGAGCTGGAGATCCAAACAGGACTGGGGTTTTCATGTCTGTGCAGGGAGTTTGTGGTTCTGATGGATTTTTGTTTGGACTTTTCCAAAGTGCAGACGGAGCAGTGAGAGAAACAAGAAACAGCAGAACAGAAAGAAGTTCTTTAAAGTTCTTCCATGAAGGAATGTCTGAAGAAAAGAAAGAAACACTGAAAGAACATCTGACGATCACAGGAACGTCGAGCTGCTTGGAAGAAAAACTTAAAAAAAAACAGCCAAAGCTCCTCGTCCATTTCATTTGACTCCAGCTGCTTGGACAGAAATTCTTTCATCTGAGATATATATATATATATATATATATATATATACACAAGTGGTAGAGCTGCTGCCTGTTAGTGAGAAGGCTGCTGGTTCAAACCCCGGTCCAGGGGCCTTTCTGGGTGGAGTTTACATGTTCTCTCCGTACATGCGTGGGTTTTCTCCGGGTACTCCAGTTTCCTCCCACAGTCCAAAAACATGCATGTTAGGCTGATTGGTAACTCTAAATTGTCCCTAGGTGTGAGTGAGAGAGTGAATGGTTGTTTGTCTCGTTTGTCTCTATGTGTCCCTGTGATGGACTTGTGACCCGTCCAGGGTGTCCCCCGCCCCTCGCACAGTGATTGCTGGACATGGACACCGGCGACCCCCGTGACCCAAAATGGAATAAGCGGGTAAAGATAATGGATGGATGGATGGATGGATGGATGGATGTTGGTTTTTGAGGATTTTGAATGAACAGATGTTTTTCAGGGAGCTCCGGATTTCATGGTCTTACCACGATCTCCAGGCCTCCATCTGAGGGCGCGTAGATGACCTTATAGCCCTGAACGTTGCCTCCAGCTGGGTTCCAGTTCACAGTGAGGGTGGTGATGGTCGGGTTGGTCACCTTCAGGCTGCTGACGCCACTCAGAGGCACTGAGAACAGAAGAACATGGAGTCTGTTATTGTCTCCGGTATAAATCTGAGGAAAGCCTTTCTGTCTCTCAACAGCTTACAGGTCTTTCCTTCCTCAGACTGCCGTCTTCCGTCTCGGGTCGGGTACACGGGCAGCACCGACACCATGTACTTTGTGTCGGGCTGCAGGTTCCTGAGGACGATGGAGGTGGTTCCTGCAGGAACTTGTTCCTGTGGATCCAATTTAGAAGGCAAATTCATGAACCAGCTGGTCTCATCAGTAAGAAATTCTGACGAGGAAAAAAAAACCTCACCATCTCTTCTGGCCCACCAGCCGAGGGAACATAGAAGACCTTGTAGAGGCGAACAGCTCCATCAGCCGGGGCCCAGTCTACATTCAGAGATGTCATGGTGGGGTCTGTTACCCTCAGGTTCTTCACTCCTCCCAGAGGCCCTGAACCAGGAGGAGATGTGGAACAAAACAGGTCAGTCTGAGGAGAAAGCCCAGGTAGTCAGCTGATGCTTAAACATGGATCTGTTGGAGAACAGGTTTTCCTCCTCATGTCGTTCTGCAGGTTGTAGAACATTAAAACGATTGGAACTCCAGGCTGAGCTCCGTCTGGAGACTAAAACTTCATTTTCATAAAACAGAACTTCCTCGGACCTCCTGAAGGAGGTTGTGTCTGAATGAATGTTGATGGGTCTCTGAGCTCAGCCTCACTTGTTTTTCCGTTTTCAGACATGGTCCTTCCATCTCCGTCAGCGTACACTGGAACCAGTGAGACCTGGTAGAGGGTGTCGGGCTGCAGGCCCCGCAGGATCGTGGCTGTGGTTCCTGCTGACACGGTTTCCTGAGTTTCATAACAAAACAAACTGATTAAAGGAAACAAACTCTGGTTGGTTCAGTGTTAGGGTCCAGTTTTATTCATAATCATTAACTCTAGAAACTAGAAGAGTTCCTCTGAGGTTCTGCTGTCGGTTCTCCTACCAGTCCTACCATGCTCTCAGCTCCTCCGGCTGCAGGAGCATAGACCACTCTGTACTCCTTGACCCGGCCTTCAGCCGACTCCCAGCGGACGTTCAGGGTGGTCATGGTCGGATTCAGGACCTGCAGGTTCCTCACGCCACCAAGAGGTTCTGATCAAAGCACAAGAAGCACCAGTTCTCATACAGAAACCAACATTTTGTTTCATGAAAACTGAGGAACATCTTCACATCTGAGAACAAACAAAAAACGTTTCCTGTTCAGTTCAAGCCTGAAGCTGTTTCACATTTTATAGATAATTAACTAAAAGCTAAAACAAATTTCATTAGCGGAAGAATAAAAGTCTCAGAAAAGAGGCTTTAAAAAGAAAGATGATATGAACACAGAGGGAAACAGCTGAAATCTGCTGAACAACAGCTGAAATCTACTGAACGACAGCTACAATCTGCTGAAGGACAGCTGAAACCTATTGAACAACAGCTGAGGTCTGCTGAGAAACAGCTGAAATCTGCTGAAAAACAGCTGAAATCTGTTAATGATGCTCAAACTGAAGTGGAATAACTAAAATAAGCTAATTACTATCTAAAAGCTAAAAGAAGCAAAACACTAACTAAAAGCTAAAAGAAGTAAAACACAAGTTAAAAACGTAAGGAAGCATAACACAAGCTAAAAGCCAATAAAAGCAAAACACCAGTTAAATGCTAAAAAAAGGCAAAACATATGTTAAAAGGTAAAAGAAACAAACCCTAGCAACAAGCTAATACAAGCAAAACACTAGCTAAAAACTAAAATCAGCACAACATAAGCTGAAAGCTAAAAGAAGCAAAACACAAGCTAAAAGCTAAAAGACGCAAAACACATGCTAAAAGCAGCACAACAGAAGCTTAAAGCTAAAGCAGCACAACAGAAGCTTAAAGCTAAAAGAAGCACAACAGAAGCTAAAAGCTAAGTCAGTGTTGAGAGGAGAAAAGCATACAAGGTTCAGACAGTTTTCAGAAAGAGGATCTGAAGAGCAGGACCAGGACCCTGAGCTCTGAGGAACAGAGGATCGTTAGCTGAATTCTCTAAAGGTCCAGCAGGTTTTGACCTGCAGCTGTTTTGGCTCATGAAGAGTTTTTCAGCTGCAGCTTTAGCTCCTTTCGGTATTCTTACTGGTTTTTCCTTCTCCGGAGATGTTTCTGCTGACGCCTGAGGGATAGACGGCGGCCACGGTGATGGTGTAGGGCGTGTCGGGCTGCAGCTGCTGCAGGACGATGTTCGTCTTCTTGCCTCCAACCTGGACCTGCTCAGGAACAGAGAACAGCTTCAGACACCAACAGACGGGTTCTGAGGCCCGGAACCGGAACCATCAGACGAGTTCTGAGTCCCGTCTGAAACCAGAACTGACAGACAGGTTCTGAGGCCCGTCTGGTACCAGAACCGACAAATGAGACCCATCTGGAACCAGAACCTGGTGCTTTACTTTGACCTTTACTGTCTGAATGCTGAGTCAGCATTTTTATAATCGGACTAACTCTGCAGACTTTGTTCTATTTTAGCTGTTCATAAACCCAAATGTTCGGCTGATTCAGCTGAAGCTGTGACTTTTATTGTTGGAATGTTTGAAACGTTTCCAAATATGTTACTTTATTTACAAACTTCGTCTCCGTAGAAACGCCCTGAGGACTTCTCCAGTATACTCGGGCGGACCTCTGCAGACTGAGGTCCGCCCGAGTATACTGGAGGTTTAATTCCCTCAGAAACTTTGTTCTCTTAAACCTGCACCTGGTTCACATCTCCCGAACATACATTAAGATTATGGATCTGGTATCCTGGACATTCAACGCTATCGACAAGATTTTTTTCAACAAAGCAACAAGGTCCTGGAGAGCCTGCGTGTCCAGCTGAGACGCACGCTGTGGGACACATCATGGATCCGTGGGGAGTGTGGCAGATGATGTTCCTCTCAGTCCTGTCTCAGGAGGATGTTGAAGATGTTTACATATTTGGATTTATGATAGCAGGGACTCTGCTTTTTGGCATCGGCGGGGCTCTGTTTTATCGACTTTTGAAGAAGACATCGCAGCAGTTTCGGCCATGGAAAAGCTTCAGAGTCAGTGTGAAGGTTTGATCCGTGCCGTGAGTTCTCATAGTCAGCAGATTTACGAGATAAACCGTAAGGTGGAGGTGATTTATAAGAATCACAGGCCACCTGCAGCTTCTGGGACTCATCAGCGTGGTGGGTTCGACCTTCAAGGAGACTCATAGCATGGATCAGTGGAATGGATTCCCACATTTAGGCCATTTTGGAACCAGAACGTCCAGATGGACTCAAGGCTGAAGGAAAACAACAATCAAAGTTTATCTGAATCTGACTCCGCGTTGGCCTCGGAATGGGCCTACTATCAAACTTCTCCTGGGTCATGGGTACCCAAGGACAAAAGCTTCATCTATCTGGTTTTGGAGCGGAGGTCACATATCTACACATTCTCGTTGTGCTCACCACTTCCTGTCTGGGAAGCAAAAATGGGAAACCTTGAACACACCGTTAGGCCAGGCAGAACTTCTGAGGTTCTGACCCGGAGCTAGGCCGTGTTTGCAGCAGAACCTTGGTTAGAATGACCCTCAGCAGTGAGGGGAGGGAGGTTAGCATGAATTCAGCTTCAGAAACTTTCATGCACTTCAACGGCCCAAGTCCTGGTTCTGAACTCAGGAAGCTCTCTGGATGTGGTCCGATCTAGTTGGTGGTTCCTAAACTCCTTTACCTTTCCAAAAAAGTTCAATCTGGTCCTCTGGACATTCAAAAAAACAAAAAACAAAACCAAGCAAAAAAATATAGAAAGGTTTCGTCTCTCATCCTGAGGACTTCCTCAGTCTGAGGTGCTGTATTCAGCTCAGTCTCTTAAATAGCACCTTCTCAGAGTGGATCAACCAGTTTGCTGCTGACAACCAGAACCAGCTGATCACATGCTCAAGAAGGACCATCAGCCTAACAATGGATCATTAGCACCTGATGGCTGTTTACTGTTCACAGAGGGCTGAGTGATACTAGCAATCACAGCATTGTAAGAGGGGGACAGTTGAACCTGGAGGCTCCGCCCCTGTTTAATGATGGACGGTTTCTTTTCACAAAGATGGCCTCCTTTACTCCTCTCTCAAACCATCGTTCCTCTCTGTCCAGGATGTGAACATCTTCATCCCTGAAAGAGTGACAGCTGGCCTGGAGATGAGTGTAGACCTCAGAGTCCTGGCCTGATGATGTTGATCTTCTGTGCTGGGCCATCCTTTTGGCCAGTGGCTGTTTAGTTTCCCCGATGTAAGACTGATCACAGCCCTCCTGACACTGAACAGCATACACAACATTACTCTGTTTGTGCCGGGGGACTGGATCTTTGGGATGAACCAGTCTTTGCCGTAATGTATTTTGGGGTTTAAAAGCCACTGGGACGTTATGTTTAGAAAATAAACGTCTCAGTTTCTCTGATACTCCCTCAACATATGGAATGACCACTGGTCTGGGTCTGGGTTCCTCCTTTTCACCTGTTGGCTGACTGGAGTCCTGTTTGGGTTTCTTCTCTGCTTTCAGGAAGGCCCAGTTAGGATATCCACATTGCTCTAGAGCCTGTCTTGTGTGGGATTTCTCCTTCTGCCTGGCTCCTGAGCTAGTGGGGACGCTGTCTGCTCTGTGATACAGAGTCCTGATGACTCCTAACTTGTGCTCCAAAGGGTGATGGGAGTCAAACTGCAAATACTGGTCTGTGTGGGTGGGTTTGCGGTACACCTCAGTTTGCAAATGTCCTCTATCAGAGACTGAGACCTCA